GCTGCGAAAATGTTAAAATTTCAAGCTAAGTGCTTAGTATACAATTAGGTTGTATGTTTGTTGTGTATGTGGAAATTCTTGCGAAATATTTTGAAATTTATCGCTTTTTTCATTCGCAAACGGAAATCGAAAATGGAAAGCACGTTAGTATTGTTTATGTTTTAGTTAAATTATAGCATTTTGTTAACTAATTTATATTCCAGAGTAAAAAGAACAACTCGCAGACAGTTCGAAGTGCTCATTAAGTTAATGGAGCAAAATCCAGACCTTGCCAAAGGCATGAGTAATTTTGGGTCAACAAAAAAAAAAATAGAAATGAGCTGTGGGAGGGTATCGCGCTAGAATTAAATAATATCGGTCCACCAACGCGTAATGGTCGAGAGTGGAACAAGGTAAGAAATTAATTTAATTGTCTTTTTAAATTAATTAAATTCCTTTTATATAATTTACTTAGGTTTGGCTGGACTATAAACTAAAGTTAAAAAAAAATAATTAGCCGCAAATCGCCGTGAGACTGTTGCCAAAGGTGGAGGACCCTACTCACAACGAAGTCTGACGCCTTTGGAGCAGACGGTCGATGAGCTGCTAAGCTTGCAGCAGGCAGTCAATCCAACAGGTGCTGCTTTTGGACCAAGTTTATTTGATCAAGAGGACGAGGCACAGTCGGGCCAGACACTGGACGACCACACACAGGACGACCAAGTACAGGACAACCCGACACCTCAAAATCTGGACGTAACGCGGACGCCGGGCAGACGAAGACGAACGACTGCTATAGAGGAAAGAGAAAATATGCGTATGAAGGCTTTAGAAAAGCAGGCAGAGGTACAAGACAGGTTATTAAAACAATGGAAAAAATAGAAAGAAAAATAGATGACCTTTCACGTTACGCAAGAAAAACTTATGAACTGGAAAAAGAAAAAAATAAATTATTGAAACTGAAGGAAGAGAGAAAAAAACAAGAGAATTTAAATAAAAACAGGCGACATAAGGAAAATGTTGAGATCAAATTGAAGGAATTAGAACTAAAAAAACTTAAATATCAAAAATAAACAACAGTCATTAAAACATACAAATATCATTTTTATGATTGACGGTTAGTTTTTATTAAAGAACCCAGTATTATTTATTAATGCCGAAACCGAATCGAACCGAACTTCAACGATTCGCGTTTTTTGTTTATTTACTTTATAATTTTTTTTGAAAGTGTTGCAAGCATAATATAAATTAACATTTTAAAGTTTCTGCAAAAATAATAAAAACTCAGCAAATTTTCATTGACATTTTTAACTTTTTATTCCGAATTTTTACAAAAATTTTGGTATGCAATTTTAAAGCCCAGTCAATTTCAGTAGGATAAAGTACAAGTTTCCAGTCGCCAAAAGTTCAAGTTGATTTTTAATAATTTTTTTTTTTTTTACTAACGGTACTGGTCATTGTCTTCCATATAAAAGAAAGTTAGAACTTACTTTATGTATGTACATATATGGAAGAAAATGGAGAACAGCGGGAATTCTTAGCGACTTTAAACTTGCACTTTATTCTATTAAAATTGAATGGGCTATAAAACTGCGTCGCAAAATTTTTGTAAAAATCTGAATAAAAAGTAAAAAATTTCGGTAAAAATTTGCTGACAAATCGGGTCAAAATCTCATTCGCTTAATTAGTTGACCACAAGGGTACGTGTGTGAACTTGAAAACATGAAAAACTAATTCATATAAACTTATAATGCATTGGCAATCTGTCTTCAGCGACGCTCTTCTGCGGAACCACTAAAGTGTTCTTCCGGTGGTTCCAATGGTACCACTACATCGACAAAACTATCGTTTCCCTCAGGATCATTTACGTTGTATTGTTTGCAAATATTGTGTAAGGCATAACAAATGTTAACTATCATTGTCACTTTACTAGGAGCGTAGCAAAATTTTCGCTCATTTAGGAGACATCGGAACCGACACTTCAACACGCCAATTGTCCTCTCCACAACATTCCTAGCTTTTGAATGTTTTTTGTTAAAAGTTGCCTCTATTGTTCCTGGTAAAGCGTTTCGAAACGGTGTCAACAAGTACTCGTGTAGCGGGTATCCGGAATCACCTAAAGAATATTTCGTTATTCATACTTATGTACATACATACATACCCTTATGGTCAGCTGATTAAGTCAAGTGACATTTTGACTAGTTTGGACTAGTTTTCTTTTGTTAATTTAATGTTCATATTTTTTTTATAAAAGTCTAGCACTTTACCTAACCAGGGCCACATAAATCCACATTTCAAACTTCGTATAAAAATTATGAAAATTTAACAAACTTTAACAATTGCATCCAAAAATTTTAACCTTTTAATTAGAATTTTAGACAAATTTTTCGCGTTGGTTTTCAATATTTTTTTTTTTTGCTGACGTTATGCATTTTCTTGCATATAATAAAGTATGCTCGACAATTTCGTTTGTATGGGGAAGAATGTCTAGCACCATCAGCAAAAAACAATTTTAAAAATCTATTCAAATTTAATGAGCTATAAAACCGCACACCCAAAATTTTACTAAAAGATCTAAATAAGAAGTTTAAAATTTTTGGATGCAATTGTTAAAATATGGATTTATGTGGCGTTGGTAGGTAAAGTGCTAAACTTTTATAAAAAAAAATATAAACATTAAACAAACAAAAGAAAAAATAGCCAAAACTAGTCAAAATGTCACTTGACTTAATCAACTGACCACAAGTGTATACATGAATAAATTTAGAGGAAGCGCAATTTGAAGTACCTAAATAAGCAGAATTTTGATCTCCTCTTTGATACGTATTTTCCAAATACCTCTTTAAAGAGCTGCTATACCACACAAACGAATCGTGGGTAGACCCGGCATATCGTGCGTCAACAAACCGTATTAACATGTCATGGTCACAAACCTAATTAATTTTAAAAAATAAATAATTTGTGTTACAACAAAATTCAGTTAATGCACATGCTTGTTAAGTACTTACAATCATTGCATTTATGCCGTAAAACCCTTTTCGATTTAAATACAGGTGCTTATTTTCGCTGGACGCAATAATTCCAATATGGGTTCCATCAACGCAACCAATTACATTAGGAATTCCTGTTTGTGTATAAAATTTTCTTCTCGCCTGTTGCTTTTCCGCTTCTGTCATGTGAGTTTTAATCCATGCATTGCAAGGTTTTGCTTCCATGATTGGGAGCATCTCTTTCAAAGTCAACGAAACTGTGGGCTGCGCAAGACCTAACTGAAATACATTGCCCACAGTTTGTTGTTAACTCCCATGAGCAAAAAACTTTAGTGCGCAGCGCAATTTCAACATTGACGTTACGGATGAAGAAAGGCGATTGGAAAATTCGTCTTTTAGGTTGTCTAGCAGGTACTTGAAAGCATCTTTACTCAACCGGAAGTTCATTACAAATCTGATTATACAATTTTTATGGTGATCATTGTACAAGCACTTGGACGTTAATGATTTATTTCAAAAGATAACTTACACTACGGAAGGCAATTCAATAGGATTGGAGTGGTCCCTGATAAAGCGCCGCTCCCGAAGTAAGTTTGCCCTTCTCTCCGGAACATCATCGTCTTCAAAAAACAAATCCACGTTGTGAAACATTTTTTGTTTTACTTTTTAAATTACAACCACAGTTTATTCAAAATATAATTTATAAACAAAACAAACGAAATTTAATTTAAAGACGTCAAAAATGTCAAACTTGGTTGAATACATTTGACAATAAAAAAAACTAAGCGAATGTATTCATTCGCTTCTCATAATCTCAGTTTGTCGAATTTTCGCCAAACCGTTCGCTTCGCCAAAAGCATTCGCTTCGCTAGCGGCAATTCCAGCCTTAATAGTATTAAATGTGTATGTGCAAGTAAAATTACAGGTGGTCGAACATCAAAAATCAAAGTAAAGCTACATATATCATATCCAAGAGTCGGTACTTTGCACCTTTTCCAAATTTTTAGAACTTACATTGCACCGTAGCAGTAGTCGTTCTAAGTTTGAAATACTGACAGCCGATTTCTCAGTGGATGTTTAATTATAATCGAAAGATTATCTTTTATTGTCATCTTCTCAGTGTACTTAATATATGATTAACTCACCACCACCTTTCATAAGATTTATTAATGGCGAAACCAGCTTTTCCTGTAAATCCTGTAAAACCTGCAAATCGTGAAGTTGGGTTGGGTTGAATCCAAACAGTTTGTTAATTTGCGAAATCCAGGAAACGAAACAATTGCAAGCTGACACCTTTTTAATAATGGTTTAAATTAAATTAATGCTTTCAATCTGCTCACACGTATGAGTTGTCAAAAACCATTGTTTTGAACATGTAAACCTCAAGCAAATGTCAATTACACCAATTTACAAATATTAAATGTAAAAATCAGTACAAACTCAAAAAATCAGTAGATTTTGCGTACTGATTTCGGGCTCTTAAAAATCAGTACAATAGAAAAAAACAGCACACGTACTTCCCTATCGGGAAGTTAGTTTGAAATCCAAGTTAAATAAAAGCTTGTAAAAATAGCAAAGGGTGCAATAACTGTGTACATCCAAAGCTAAAATTATCACAATAAATTACTATTCTTAACTGAAAAAAAAAACCAATATTTAAAATGCAAAACTA